AAATTAAAGGAGTAATAATTGGAAAAGCTGAAATCACATTATCCCTTTTTGCAGATGATATGATATTATATCTAAGAGATGCCAAAAATTCCACCAGAAAACTCCTAAAAATTAACACATTCAGGTGGAAGGTTACAAAAATAACCTACAAAAGTCTGTACCTTTCTATATGCCAATAACATGTAATCAGAGAAAGAGCACATGGAAACAATCCCCTTCACAATAGCTGCAACATATCTATCTATCTATCTATCTATCTATCTATCTATCTATCTATCTATCATCTCTCTATCTATCTATATCATCAGAATAAACCTGACGAAAGACATTAAAAAGCTCTACAATGAAAATTTTAAATCTTTAAAGAGATTGAGGAAGAGATCAGAAGATGGAAGGACCTCCCATGCTCATGGATTGGAAGAATTAATATTGTGAAAATGATCATCCTACCAAAAGTCATTTATAGATTCAATGCAATGACAATCAAAATCCCCATGACATTTTTCACAGAATTGGAAAAAACCATCATCCTAAGATTCATATGGAAGCACAAAAAGACCTCAGATAGCCAAAACAAACTGGAGCTTAAACTAAGAGCAACGCAAGGGGGATTGCTATACCAGATTTTAAGCTGTATTACGGAGCTATAGTCATAAAAACAACATGGTACTGGCACAAAAATAGACCCATAGATCAATGAACCAAAGTTGAAGACCCAAATATGAATAAATGCAATTTCAGCCACCTGATATTTGACAAAGGGGCCAAGAATATTCACTGGAGGAAAGACAGCATGTTCAGCAAATGGTGCTGGCAAAACTGGATCTCCACCTGTAGAAGAATGAAACTAAACCCCCGTCTTTCACCCTGCAGAAAAGTCAATTCCAAATGGATCAAAGACCTCAATGTTAAGCCTGAAATTCTGAAACTGTTAGAGGAAAACATTGAGGAAAACCTACAAGATATAGGTGTAGGAAAGGATTTTCTAAACTGGATATCAACTGCTCAGGAAACAAGGGCAAGAATTAACAAATGGGACCTCATTAAACTAAAAAGCTTCTGTACATCAAAGGAGGCAACCAGGGAGACACAGAAAACCCACAGAATGGGAGATAATCTTCACCAGTGACATATCCGACAGAGGTTTTATATCCAGAATACATAACCAACTCAAAAAAACAGAGAATCAAGACAAAAAAGTAACCCAATTAAAAGATGGGCTAAGGAGCTGAACAGAGAGTTCTCAAAAGAAGTAAAGATGGCTAAGAAGCATCTTAAAAGAAGTTCAAAATCAATAATAATTAGGGAATTTCAAATTAAAACCACTTTAAGATTTCATTTTACCCTAGTCAGACTGGCTAAGATCAAGAAAACAAATGATACCAAATGTTGGAGAGGATGTAGGAAAGGGGAACACTCATTCACTGCTGGTGGGATTGCAAACTCGTGAAAGTTCTATGGAAAACAGCATGGAAAACTCTTAAAAAACTAAAAATGAACCTACCATATGACCCAATCATACCACTCCTTGGCATATACCCAAAGACCTCATCATATTGCACAGACACTTGTACATCCATGCTTGTTGCTGCTCTTTTCACAATAGTTAAGAGATGGAAGCAAACTAAGTGTCCCTCAACTGATGAGTGGATAATGAAAATGTGGTTCATTTATACGATGGAGTTTTACTCAGAAGCAAAGAAAGATGAAATCATGAAATTTGCAGGTAAATGGATGGAACTAAGACTTCTTTCCTAATTCTGTGAAGTATGTCATAGGAATTTTGATTCGGATTACATTGACTCTGTATATTGCTTCATCCTAGAACTCAACCCTGGTAAGTCAGTTTTTATCCAGTCATAACTACAGGAACCAGGATAATGGAAAGGAAAGAGGGAGGTAAAGGAAAAGAAAGAACCTGAAAGAGAAGAACAGTAGGAAACAGGCCTTAATAAGGGAGATATGGATAAAAATTGGGTTAGTTTAACGGAGGGGGGAGGGAAGGGTATACAAGGAACCTAGGGGATAAAGGAAAAGAACGAGCTCAAGAGAGGTAGGACCATAGAAGAAGGGTATTATTAAGGGAGAAAGGGGGGAAATTGGGTCACCTTAAGTGGGAAAACCAAGATGGAGAGGTGAGACAATGTGAGAGATAAATAATGCCTAGCTAGTTTCGAAAACCAGAGGGAACCATATTACTCCTACAACCTACTGACAAATTATACATAGCATTTCAAGAAATATATGTCTAGGTAAAGTTTATCTGAGAGCAATTGGTCTTTGCCCAAGATTTATCTACATGGCACACAGTAATTAAAAGTACCAGACTGGTGGAACTAACCTTTTTGGATGTTTAACAGACATACTTTGAGGTCTATAATAATAAAGGACAGTTTTTGCTCTTTGCCCTCTTAGGTCGACTAGTTCCAGGGGACTATGAGCATCTCTCAAAATGTCCTGTAATTGTGGTGGGTCACCTGTCCTCTTGATCAAGGAGGCCGAGGAGACCTCACCAAATGCACTTGAACCAATGTCCAGTCTACAAAGTGGAGGGTCAACACAGAGGAATCATTTCCTCCATGCTTCCAAGTGAAGCCAACCATGGTCGAGCAGGACCTTTGACTTATCTTCACATAGGTGTAACCGGTAAAAGAAAGGAGCCAGGGGTTCCTCTCAAGCCCATGTGACCCCGGAGGAACAGATCCTCAAAGGACCTTAAGAATAAAACACCGAAAAGGGAAGTATAACCAAAGATTAAAGGAGCCAATATAATTTCATAAGAGTCCATATATATAGCTAAAGGCTACATAAAAAGCAACAATGCTACACAGGTGATATCTTCTTTTGAGCTGTTGGCCAGGGTGGCCAAAGGGATTCCCAGATAGTACTGGGAGCATAGAACTGGGAAATTGAACAGCAGACCCCAATCTTATCCAAAGGAATATTGACAACTGATTGCTGCTAGATGAGGAACAACTGACCCTCCTAAAACAAAGCCCTCTAGATAGGCTGACTAGGTTCACCAGAAGGGCAAGTACTGGGGAATGGCTGGGGGTGCTGACTACATAGCAGACAGTAGCAGGGATATCAGAGTATAAGGGGGGAGGGAGGCTATAGGAGGGTACCATCTGGGAATTGGGTGTATCATTGAATAAGATGGTTTGGGATGTTCTGTGTGATATACACACACACAGAGGAAAAAAACAACAAATTTTTAAAAAGTGTATTATATTTGAGGAGGGAGCATGAAAATTTACGTCATATTAATTAGTAGAGGTGATAAACATTACCATTGAAATCTACCCGATGCCTTTATAGACATACACGGGTGCCAAGAATCCAAGTGCAACCGATTATGACTAGTAATAACCAGATCCATAAAGATTAGAGATGGATGCACCAACATCTCAGTGTTAGTAGCAAAAACAATGAGTCTTTCTGCAAGGAACAATATATTCTAAAATGAAATGGAGATCTTTTTTAAAGGTTAAAAACTCATTCAATTTTATGTCTTACAGGGCTTATACTGAGTTCAATATTGTATAACTGTATTAATTCAACTGTGAACCTAGAAACTTACAGCCACTTGTGAAAGAGATGTACTCTTGCTCTGGAGTGTGTTATTGAATATGTTAAAGCTGTAGTGAAATGCTTCTAATCATGTAGTTATTAAAAATTTAAAAAAATGATAAAAAATTAAAGTATATTCTCTGTTAAGATGAATACCTAATTCTCAGTAAACAGATTTGTTCATAAACAACTGGAAAATAGTAACAATCCTTTCCTCTAGAATAATGATTTGTTTTTTCCCTGATCCATACACACAAAAGATAAAGTGAATTCCTGTCACCATGCTTCTGATTATGACAGTAACTGGCATGGGGTAGCAGGGAAGTAGTGACTCTTGCCCTCTTTTCAACATAATTAGTCAGGAATAATTAGAAAGATACATTTGGGTAGACAAGACTCCAACAGGGCATGATTCTCAAAATAAGTTCTAACTGTCATCCTCTTTGTTTCTCCCACCTGTGTTTCTAGATAGGCTATGATATTTGTTAAACCCAGCACTTCCAGTTTTTTGGTTCAGTCAACATGAGACAGGAACAGAAGCAGGAAATTGTTTCAGCAGAGCCAGGTGTAGTTGTATATGCTTATGATCCTAGCACTTAGGAGACTGAGGCAGGAAGATCCTTAGTTTGAGGCTAACCTGGGCTATGTGGAGGAATCTTGCACACCCCCCCCCCAACCACACCACCAAAAAAAGAAAGTTCTAAGGCAGGGGAAGGAGGTTGAGTTTAGTGGTTATCATTCCAACTCAGTGAACAGAAAGATCGACTTTTAAGACTAGATAACAGGTCAGTAAGATGGCTCAGTGGGTGAAGGAGCTTGTTGCCAAACTTGATGACCTGAATTCAATCCCCAGGACCCACATGGCAGGAGAGAACTGACTCCTGTAAGTTGTTCTCTGACCTTCACACGCATGCTGTGGCACAAACATGCATGTGCTGATACACAATAAATACATAAGTATACATTTAAAAATAAAAAAGGGCCAGGTGTGCTGGTACACACCTTTAATCCTAGTAGTTGGGAGGCAGAGAAAGGTGGATCTCCCTGAGTTTGAAGCCAGCTTGGCCTACATAGTGAGTTCCAGGCCAGTCAGGGATACAAAGTGAGAAACAATGTCTCAAAAACACAAAAAATAAAAATAAAGACTAGATAAAATTGAAGCCTTGAAGCATCATGAGTCTCTAATCATGCTGACATAAAGCAAAGGACAAATAGACTTAGATTACAGATGTGTACACGATTAGTAGAGCATATCGGCCAGATTAATCTTTTCTATAAAAGGGAAGCTACCTCAGAGTAATAAGTGTTGGGCATACACTGAGCTATATCTACATGGGAAAAAATCAAATATAGCATATTTTAGTAATAAATCCTCGTAAATGGAAAGTTTCTTTGCATGTAGCAGAAAAGTCAAAGGTAAATATGATTACCTAATAGCAGCTATACCATGTCCAATTTCATGTACAACACCACTAATGAGGACTGCGGCGAAGAAGTAGCTCAGCTGACTGACAGGTAAATTTATACCAGGAACCTGTTCAGAGACATAATACAGCAATAATTATTAGTGTGGGTGCTGCAACATCCCATTTCCATACCAAGAAACATGATGTTCACTCTGTATTAAAGCTTAGACCTCCAAATTAATGTTCTACAAACTAAAATTATTACTATTGTTTTGTGACAGAGTCTCACTATGTAATCCTGGTTGTCCTGGAACTCAGTATTTAGACCAGGCTAACCTTGAATTCAGACATCTGCCTTCCTCTGCCTCCAAAATGCTGGGATTAAAGGTGTGCACCATCATGCCCAGTTAACTAAAATTATTATGACAATTGATGATTTGTTTCTATATCTCTACCACAATTAAAAGCAAAAAGCATTAATTTTTTTTCTTTTTTCAAACTAAAATAAGCTCATTGCCAATTTAAAAAGAATGGGAAAGATTAGGTTAAAAAGCTATATATTTCTAGGGCTGGAGAGATGGTTCAGCTGTTAAGAGCACTAGCTGCTCTTGCAGAGGATGGGGTTTCATTTCCACCACCCACATGGCAGCTAACAACTGTTCTTAACTCCAGTTCCAGGGGATCCAATGCCCTCTTCTGACCTACAAGGACACTGCACAACACAGCTTCACTTACATACATGCAGGCAATACACTTATACACACAAAATAAAACTAATGAAATATTTTAAATACTTACAACTTTAAGCTTCCTGAGGGTTTCAACAAAAGAATGAAGGAGCCCAGAGTGCCAGGGAAGGCAGGGTGGCAATATGGGTGGCAGCAACTGATAGATACATCCTTAACTTAAGGACTAGATGCTCAATTTGAGAACTCTTCTTAAAATTCTTAGTCCTACCTCTGAATTGTTATTTCAAGATTTCAAGAACTTACCTGTGTCATATAGGACATTCTCCGCCATAGCAAATCAATAAGGTTCCTTTTAATATTCATGAGCTATAATAGAGCTGGCAATGGAAGCTGGTACAACAAAGTGTCTGGTCAGTGTTAGCATTCCATGCCCTTCACTCCTTTCATCCTGTCAGTTTAGCCACCAGAAAAGAGTACCAAAGGTGCAAATGTGAAAATTGAAATTGAATGCAGAAATGAAAGTATTTGGAATATAGACTTATGGACATATGAAGAAGTTATTTTGCAATCCTTCACTCCAAAAATGTTGCGCACATAACCACGCAGCTACATAACTACATAACTACATGCAGAAGGGAAGCCTGCTACTGTAAGCACTGTAGAGGAAACTTCTTTGATAGCTAAGAATCCTCTAATAAGGTAAATGATCTGCTAAGGTGAGAGTGTGGAATGGACATACACAGTACCTATTTTTCAAGTGCAACAACTGGGACCCAAAAGAAAGCTCTCTGGAGAAAATACCTTCTTTTGTTTATGAATTGTCATTTTAATACTAATTTAAAATGCTTTAAAGCAGGAAAACTAGAAAACTTAATAGAAGCCTATAATCCTGCTCATTTTCAAAACAAAACTATCTCAAATGCTTTGCCATGTACTGCTAGTCTTTTCAATGTACTGCTAGTCTTTTCAAGTACACCTATTTTCAAAGATTATACTGTTGGGGCTAGAGCGGTGGCTCAGCAGTTTAGAGCACTGGCTGCTCTTGCAGAGGACCCAGATTTGGTTTGCAGCACCTGCATGGTGGCTAACAACTGTCTATAATTCTAGTTCCAGGGGATCAGACACCCTCTTCTGGTCTATACTGGCACTGCATGCATGTGGTGAACTCAATCATGCAGACAAGCCACTCATACATAAAATATAAACTTTAAAAAATTTTAAAAATTATACTGCCTCAGCCAGGCGTGGTGGCACATGCCTTTAATCCCAGCACTCGGGAGGCAGAGGCAGGCGGATCTCTGTGAGTTCAAGGCCAGCCTGGTCTACATAGTGAGTTCCAGGACAGCTGGG